TTGTGTGTGTGTGTGTGGGGGTGTGTGTGTGTGTGTGTGTGTGTGTGTGTGTGTGTGTGTGTGTGCGCGTGTGTGTGTGTTTCAGGAATGACGAAGGTCAAAGTGGGGAAAGAGGATCTGTCATCAGTGGAGTTTGTAGAGAAGAGAAGATCTGCTTTGGAAAGGTATTCAGACTAATTAATTTAAGTGAGATGTGTCGATCTGCATTGTTTTATAAAAGTTAACGTGTGAATAAAATATTATTTGTAGCTTCACCCATCCAATAATCTTAATACTCTTTGTGCTTTGTTACTTTTGTTATGAAACAAAGTCTCAGCTTTCAAATTCTGTCAGTTTCATTACTAAATTCAAGCAATAAATGTGTTTTTGTCCCTCTTTAATGTGTGGCGACCAACACGTAACACGAGCTACACTGCAAAAATGATTCTCTTGCTTAGTGTTAGTGTCTTGTGTTCTAGTATAAATATCTAAACATTCTTGACTCAAGATGAATTTACTGTACAAGTAAAATTATTTAAGATATTAAAGTCTTGTTTTCTTTAAAAAAAATCATCAAAATTGTGTTCGTTTTTGCTTAAAATGAGGGTAAGAAAAGTAATCTTAATTCAAAGGCTAAACAAGATTATTTTTCTTGCCCCATTGGCAGATATTTTTACTCGTTTTAAGCAAAAGCTAACACAATTTATGTTTATTTTTTTACAGAAAACAAGACGAAATACTTTAAGTAATTTTACTTGTACAGTAAATTCATCCTGATTCAAGAATTTCTAGATATTTATACTAGAAAACAAGACAAAAACAGTGTATTTTTTGCAGTGTATGAATCGAATCGATACCCAGGCCTAGTTGGCTCTCTGTGAATCTCTGTTTTCTGTTCGGCTGATGCGCTGGAAAGATCACTCGTGTTCTGCTCTTTTGTGGCTAAAAGGTTAAGCAAGAAATATTAGATAAATAATTATGGAGGTTTGCTGCTGTCCTGCCGTTCTCTCCGCCGCTGATCGCTGCTGCGCTCCTGGTTTTGCACAAACTGATGAATCGAATAAAAATTACAGTTAAGTGAAGCGCTGACATTTCTGTGCCCTTTTTATCCGGCCGCAGACTGACGCGAAGGTCAGCGGCTCGGCTGTAGACTTCATCTGGTTCAGAACTGGATGCTGATGGGAGATGTGTGTTTGTGTTGCAGGTATCTGCTGAGGACCGTTAAACACCCAGCGCTGCTCAAAGACCCCGATGTCCTGCAGTTTCTGGAGAGTTCAGAGGTACCGTCGCCGTTTCTGTAAACCATAGACATTTTTTATATGGGCTCATCATTATCAGGATTTTACTCCCATCTGAATAAGCTACATCAGTAATTTTTCCCATTCTGTCTGTAGTTTACAGCATTTCGTACCTTTAATAAATTTGCATTAACAATAACTAGAGGTAACAGCTACTATTGACAATGTGGTAAAATTTCTACTGTTTCTTGTGGGTATAATTATGGAAGCTCATTTCCGCCACGGGATAAAAAAATTAAAAGAGGTAATTGCAATTTTCTTGCAATTTTGAGAAAGTTTCTCAGAATTCTGAGATATTAACCCTGTATTACCAGAAATAAACTCTGAATTGATAAATAAACTCTGAATTGAGAAATAAACTATGAATTGAGAAATGAACTCTGAATTGAGAAATAAACTCGGAATTGATAAATAAACTCAGAAATACAAGAAATGAACTCAGAATTGATAAATAAACTCTGAATTGGGAAATAAACTCAGAAATACAAGAAATAAACTCAGAATTACAAAAAATAAATTCAGAATTGATCAATAAAATCAGAATTACAAAAATAAACTCTGAATTGAGAAATAAACTCAGAATTGGGATATAAACTCAGAATTACAAGAAATAAACTCAGAATTGAGATATAAACTAAAAAAATACAAGAAATAAACTCAGAATTGATAAATAAACCCAGAATTACAAGACAAACTCTTAACTGAGAAATAAACTCAAAATTGATATAGACTCAGAATTACAAGAAATAAACTCTGAATTACAATAAATAAACTCAGAATTGAGATATAAACTCAAAATTACAAGAAATAAACTCAGAATTGATAAATGAACTCTGAACTGGGAAATAAACTCAGAATTGAGACATAAACTCAGAAATACAAGAAATAAACTTAGAATTACAAGAAATAAACTCAGAATTACAAAAATAAACTCTGAATTGAGAAATAAACTCAGAATTGAGATATAAACTCAGAATTACAAGAACTAAACTCAGAATTAAGATATAAACTCAGAACTGAGAAATAAACTGAATTGGGAAATAAACTCAGAATTGAGATATAAACTCAGAAATACAAGAAATAAACTCAGAATTAAGATATAAACTCAGAATTGAGAAATAAACCCAGAATTGGGAAATAAACTCAGAAATACAAGAAATAAACTCTGAATTGAGAAACAAACTAAGAATTGAGACCAACTCAGAAATACAAGAAATAAACTCTGAATTAAGTTATAAACTCAGAATTGAGACAAACTCAGAAATACATGACATAAACTTAGAATTAAGATATAAACTCAGAATTGAGAAATAAACTCAGAATTGAGACAAACTCAGAAATACATGACATAAACTCAGAAATACAAGAAATAAACTCTAAATTGAGAAATAAACTCTGAATTGGGAAATAAACTCAGAATTACAAGAAATAAACTCTAAATTGAGAAATAAACTCTGAATTGGGAAATAAACTCAGAATTACAAGAAATAAACTCTAAATTGAGAAATAAACTCTGAATTGGGAAATAAACTCAGAATTACAAGAAATAAACTCTAAATTGAGAAATAAACTCTGAATTGGGAAATAAACTCAGAATTACAAGAAATAAACTCTAAATTGAGAAATAAACTCTGAATTGGGAAATAAACTCAGAATTACAAGAAATAAACTCTAAATTGAGAAATAAACTCTGAATTGGGAAATAAACTCAGAATTACAAGAAATAAACTCTAAATTGAGAAATAAACTCTGAATTGGGAAATAAACTCAGAATTACAAGAAATAAACTCTAAATTGAGAAATAAACTCTGAATTGGGAAATAAACTCAGAATTACAAGAAATAAACTCTAAATTGAGAAATAAACTCTGAATTGGGAAATAAACTCAGAATTACAAGAAATAAACTCTAAATTGAGAAATAAACTCTGAATTGGGAAATAAACTCAGAATTACAAGAAATAAACTCTAAATTGAGAAATAAACTCTGAATTGGGAAATAAACTCAGAATTACAAGAAATAAACTCTAAATTGAGAAATAAACTCTGAATTGGGAAATAAACTCAGAATTACAAGAAATAAACTCTAAATTGAGAAATAAACTCTGAATTGGGAAATAAACTCAGAATTACAAGAAATAAACTCAGAATTGAGACAAACTCAGAAATACAAGAAATAAACTCTGAATTGAGAAATAAACTCAGAATTGATAAATAAACTCAGAATTGGGAAATAAACTCAGAATTGAGACAAACTCAGAAATACAAGAAATAAACTAAGAATTACAAGAAATAAACTCAGATGTGGTAAATAAACTCAGAAATACGAGAAATAAACTCAGAAATACAAGAAATAAACTCAGAAATACAAGAAATAAACTCAGAATTACAAGAAATAAACTCATAACTGAGAAATAAACTCAGAATTGAGAAATAAACTCAGAATTGAGAAATAAACTCAGATTTGACATATAAACTAAAAAAAGAAATAACCTTAGAATGACCAGATATGAACTTAACATTTTGAGGAAAAAAGTCTTAAAAAATCTTTAAAAAGTTGCTATTCCTTTTTTTTGTTTTTTTTATTGTGCTACAGAAACAAAAAGTCAGAATTCGCAAGAAATAAACTCTAAACTGCCAGAATTGTGAGGTATAAGCTTGCAATTGCAAGCGGAAAAAAGTCACAGTTAGCATTTTTTGTTTCATTCCTCGGCGGAAACCAGTTTTCATCTAAATGTGGTTTCCTGGTGCTTTGGAGACGATTCTCTTGACTGTATTATGAAAAAACACTGCATGTAGATGTTTCAGAATCAATCAACTTGACATCAGATTATACATGAAGAGGAACAATCGTGTTTTCTGTGCATTATATTACGTACAGTGCTCATAAAGTCAGCTGTGTTAATAACATCACACTTTAGATCATTTCCTGAATAACACACTGAACAGATCCAATGCATTCTGCTCCTCCAGTCTGATTTTCTCTTTATAGGCCAGAAGTGGCTTTGGCGTGAGCGCCGAGAGTGTCTGTATTAAGTATGTATAATGGAAGACTGCAGCAATTGTAAAGGGCTAAACGCTCGGGCCGATTGAAAGCTATTTTTGCCCACGGGCCCTCTGAGAGTTTTCCAGGGTGAAACGTATTAAATTGGACCGGCATTGAAATGTATGGGACTGGAGAAAATCCCAGTGCGCTGCGGGAGGAGAAACGCTCCCCGCGGGACGGGTCTGAGCCGCGGCCTGTTAACCGGTTTGTTTGCCCTTATTTGTCATTTTATCCCAGCTGCCGCGAGCGGTTAGCACACAGGCGCTGAGTGGGGCCGGAATATTGAGGATGGTAAACAAAGCGGCCGACGCTGTCAACAAAATGACAATCAAGATGAATGAATCGGATGCGGTAAGGCTCTGATTTTTGGACTTGAATAATGAGACGAATTAATGAGCTGCTCTCTGGCTCCAGTCCTAAGGTGTGTGTGTGTGTGTGTGTGTGTGTGTGTGAGAGCGGGGGTCAGGACATGTGACATGCGTGTGCTCTTTATACACTGAACACGGCTTACAGTCACGGCTTACACAACAAAAAAAGATTCTCTTGCTTAGTGTTAGTGTCTTGTGTTCTAGTATAAATATCTAAACATTCTTGAATCAAGATGCATTTACTGTACGAGTGAAATGACTTAAGATATTATGTCTTGTTTTCTGTAAAAAATATAAAAATATTGTTAGTTTTTGCTTAAAACAATCAAAAATATCTGCCACGAGGCAAGAAAAATCATCTTGTTTAGCCGTTGAATTAAGATAATTTTTCTTACCGCATTGGCAGATATTTGACTTGTTTTAAGCAAAAACTAACATAATTTTGATTATTTGTTTAGAAAACAAGACGTAATATCTTAAATCATTTCACTTGCACAGTAAAAGCATCTTGATTCAAGAATGTTCAGATATTTATACTAGAACACAAGACACTAACACTAAGCAAGAGAATAATTTTTGCAGTGCATCCAGCAGACTTACATGTAAACATGGATAAAATGGATTTTAAAAAACAGCTTATAAAAATATAGGTTCATAATTTGCATCCATGAAGAACTTTTGACAATCTAAAGAATCTTTTGTGCATTTGAAAGGTTATTAAAATGTTCTTTACACTAAGAAAAATGGTTATTTATAAGAACTGATCACTGAAGTTTATTTATAAGCATGCGTAGTATTATAATTTTGTGTTTGTGTATAAAGTGGTTTGAGGAGAAACAGCAGCAGTTTGACAATCTGGACGTTCAGCTCAGAAAACTTCACGCTAGTGTGGAATCACTGGTGTGTCACAGGAGGGGTAATAATACAAATAATAACTTAAAAATATTAAGAACACATGTTTTATGAGGTATATTTATGATCTAGTACACTACTAGTCAAAGGTTTGGAATCAGTGTTTTTTTAGGCTCTTCTGCTCAGCAAGGCTGCGTTTATTTGATCAAAAATACAGTAAAAATTGTGAAATGTTATTAAAATTTAAAACAGCTGTTTTCTCTGTGAATATGTGTTAAACTGTAATGTATTTCTGTGATGCGCAGCTGTATTTTCAGCATCATTCCTCCAGTCTTCAGTGTCACATGATCTTCAGAAATCAGTATAATATGCTGATCTGCTGCTCCAGATACATTTCTGATTATTATCAATGTTGAACACAGTATTTTTTTTATTTTTGTGGAAACCGTCAGACTCTAGCATTCAAAGGTTTGGGATTTAGAAAACAAAAATATGTTTATATTCATCAAGGACGCATTAAATTAATCAAAAGTGACAGTTAAGACATTTATAATGTTACAAAATGTTTCTATTTCAAATAAATGCTGTTCTTTTGAAATTTCTGTTCAGCAAAGAATCCTGAAAAAATAAAGTGTTACCGTTTCCACAAAAATATTAAGCAGCACAACTGCTCTCACAGGTTTTCAACATTGGTAATGATAAGAAATGTTTCTTGAGCAGCAAATCAGCATATTAGAATGATTTCTGAAGATCATGTAATAATATTTCACAATTTTTACTGTATTTTTGAACAAATAAACGCAGCCTTGCTGAGCAGAAGAGCCTTTGTAATTATTCCACACGTTTGACTGGTGATGTACAGTATATGCTGCATACTGACTCTTCACTCTTCACTCTCAGAGTTGTCTGTGAACACGGCGTCGTTCGCTAAAAGCGCAGCTATGCTGGGAAACTCGGAGGATCACACGGCGCTGTCGCGAGCTCTGTCCCAGCTGGCCGAGGTGGAGGAGAAGATCGACCAGCTGCATCAGGATCAGGCCTGCGCTGATTTCTACCTGATCTCAGAGCTGCTGGGAGACTATGTGCGGCTCATCACCGCCGTTAAAGTGAGTGGACGACATCCTGAGCGTTTCATCTGGCCGTTTTTCCAATAAATTCAGTTAGTTTTCTGACAAGGCGAACATAAAAGATGTCAAAAACATATGTGATCCTGGAGCACAAAACATAAGAGTCAATTTTGTGAAATTGAGATGTATGCATCATCTGAGAGCTGAATAAATAGCTTTGCATTGATGTATGGTTTATTAGGATAGCACAATATGTGAAAATCTGGAATCTGAGGGAGCAAAAAAATCTAAATATTGAGAAAATCATCTTTAAAGTTGTTCAAATGAAGTTCTTAGCAATGCATATTACTAATCAAACATTAAGTTTTGATAT